CTAAAATATATGGTCGTTGTGGTCGTCTAGGACACAATCGACAAAGTTGCAAGAAGGCTCTAGCGTAGGTATTTTGGGTTTGTCATCTTGTTGCTAGAATTTTATTTTATTTTTGGAATATTGTGCGTTGAACGTAAATATGTGTACGAAACATATTTATTGATTGTGTTGACAACATTCTTTCGTGGCCATGACATACGAGAGTGCCTTTTTGTTTTTTGTTTTGGTTTTTTTAAGTTGATTGTAGGTAGTCATTGGCTGCACATTTTTGTTAATGGTTGTGTGGGACTGTACAAACCCATGGAGGTATTGTAAAAACATTTAGTAAGGAAGTAACGTCAAAGGTATTGTGTAGACGGTTCCGCACTATACGCCATTGACACTATCCATCGGTCTGAAATAGGTAGGTGGAATGTTACAAATAACATCAATATCTGTAGCTTGAGATATTACACTGTAATTTGTAACTAGCCATGGTTAATAGATCTAGTTGCACCTTAAATACCCTGGATGCCATAGTAATTAACCGTGTACGGTCTATACGTACCTGGTAAAGAAAGATGGGTACCTATCCTCTTAACTAGGAAAAATTCTGATTCATAATAATTTTTGTGTTCTGTAGAGGTGAAGCTGAGGGTATATTATTCGCTGAAGCCGAAATGACCTGTGTCATATGTCTATATATGACTTTTGCGATGAATATTACAGCGTTAAATGCTACAAAAAAACTTACGAAGAATCCATTAACCCGGTGCCGACTCATGATATGAATGTGGTGCAGAATAACCTGCAGACAAAGATAATTCATCCTATAACATCGGTCCAACTAGGCCGACGAAAGAAAAGACAGTTTGAATCACAACAGGTGAAACAATCTAAAAAATGTAGTCGTTGCGGTCACCTAGGACATAATCGACGAAGTTGTAAGGAGGCTTTACCTTAGGTATTTCTAGTTATGGTTGGAATCTCTTTTTTGTTTTTGAAAGATTGTAAATTGAACGATGATCTATGTACGTGACCACTGTTGGTGGATTTTGAAATTAGATGGTATTCCCCTTATATTCCTCGTTGTATATAGCTAATATATCGGGGTATGTATCATTTTAAATTAATTCAGACCAATCCGTTTCAGGAGTGCGTGAACTCATATTGAAAGTACCTACAATATTATTATATTTGTATAAAATATGTCAAAGATAATAGTTACTAACAATGAATCGTCAATAGGTATTAAATATATTTGATGGAGCTTTTACAATGGCTATACGAGTATTTTGTGTCATTTTGGAAGTATATCCATTAATATGGGGGGTATACATAGTAGTATTAATTGGATGCATCTTTGCCAATGGAAGTATTCATATTCGTGTGCAAGTATTATTAATGTGAACATGGGTATTCAAGTTACATGGCCATAATTTGTCAATGATTGTTATTGGATCAAACAATTATGAGTAAATTACGTCATACCAACTTTTTGGGCAGTGAGTATGCAACAGGGATACTTCCAAGACGATATATGAAAAAAAACCTATCTATATATGCAATGGTGGAAGAATGTCACTTATGAAATAACATAAGTTAAGGTGACTTATGGTAAGGATCTAAATGAAGTCAGTGCATAACTAATGATCTAATATATTCTTTATATTGTAAATGTTCGTTCAAGCATATCTAAGAGTAAGAAGAAATACCCGACAAGAGCAAATAGAGTATAAGGGATAGAGAATATTAGTTGTAAGATATATAGGAATTCCCCACGTTGTAGGAAATGTATTGGTCATCTATTGTTTTATGTCATCAGTCCAACGACGCTTTCAGAATAATTTGGTGAGTATACCGGTGCTTTCAGAAAAATTTGATGAGTACAACACTTCTCAACATACGTCATTTACATTTAAAAGTAGTTAGCGAACATATTCCTTTGTACGAATACATTCTATTAGTTCAGAGGTATATACATTACTGATATGAAGACACAAATATCATCACTGAGGTATATGGTTTGGTCCTAGGGGTATGTCGACACCTAATCATGGGTATGTGAATTACAAACCCTGGTATATATTAAGAAGTTTGGATCACATATCATGTATATAAACGTATATCGGACCAAAATACAAGTACATATAAGCAACCTCTTAAAATAACATGCGTTAGATTAAACTGGTTTATTTTGCTTACACAGTCTACGTCAAAATATAACATCAACGTATAGTACCCCTGATTGGCCACAAATCTAAGCTATTCATCAATCCGACCATTACAATTCACACCCTAATTATTCAACAAGTACTAAACAGGTCCTCTGGGGCCCCCTGATAAAATGCGTGCAACAATTTTTGCCCTATAGGCCTTAACATCGTCGAATTCGGCTGCCCAGCCACCCTGTGGATAACGGTTGGTATCATTTAGAGCATAGCTCTTAGCATACATACATACCATGGGGTCACAGTCGAGACTTTCACCTTGTCCTCGACTAAAAATGACCTCCAGGGTATCATCCGCCATTGGCCACAAATGAAATTCATTCAAATACAGGTACATGAATCGAGTCTACATAAGAATAACTCAAGGTGAATTAATATGTCAGGATAAATATAGGGGACATACTATAATTCTTACCAGACTTTTTGCATTTCCTCTTGTGAAGGGAGATCTCTTTGAATTGCACTATGTCATTTTACGTGAAGCCGTATCCAAAATGCACAAATGCCAATGAAATTTTGTGTGGACCGGAAAAAAATACATACCGACAACCATTCCTAATTTGCTCCATTACTTTAGCCACTTCGAGCTGCACGACCTTTTGTAGAGATAAATAAAAATCCCTGATATTTTTGCTCACAAGATTTTTGCTTTTATTCATCAGCAGTTTTTTTCAAGTTTGATGTTGTCTCAACGATTGTCGTCTGCAGTACGTTCAAAAATTACATAAAAAAAACTATTAACTGTAACATATGATGAACTAAATAGTATAAATATTAAAATAAATTAACACCATACATCGACAAATGAATGAACGAAACCACATCGCGTTATCACCCTATGTTGGTGCCTAAATTCTTGACTGTAGAGCCATTGTAAGTACGCATCCATAATCTCACAATGGATAGCATCGTCAAATAACAGATCGATCATTGATTTGGACGTTACGTATACTAGTCCATGGTTCCATACAGTCGCCCTACAAACACCAACCTGTTATAGTGTTTAACATATTTGAAAATTATACATATAGAGCACAAGCTAGTATTTACCGTATATCAAAATTTGCAAGAAAGTGCCTATCATTTTGGTCTCCTATTTGGAAATGCATTCACTCCCACAGTAATTAGTAGACCCTCGATACAATTCCCACTTCGAAGAATCAACAACAAAAGGTCTGTTTGTGGCCCGTTTCACCATCATCAACCTACAGTTACACAAGTTGCCAATCGAAGCACACACATTGTATATCTAGGCATATAATTTGTTCCGATAAAAATTACCAGCTAGAAACTAAGGTACATGAAAAAATAATAGACGTACAAAATATTTTAATCAAAGCACACAGAATTTTAACGTATGAATGTTTCACCAACCTTGATTGTTTGATCATCGTTTTTGCTTTTATCCTCTCCTTGCCTTATTACTCTCCCTTTCTTTTGTTTTAACCCTGGAGAAGAAGTGAATTTCGGGTCTTTTTTTCTTTTTTGGTCACGTCGCACAATAACACCACGCACAATTGACGAGTCCTTTGGCAATTCTGCCCCAACTTTATTGCCACATTCTTCCACCGATGTAGTCTGTTGTATCAAAACGGTAAATACCCTCCATGGAGACTTCCGATGGCAGAAGAAGTTCCTGCAGGGAGGATCAGCGACGATTTCTTTGGAGGGGACTTTGACGACGTGAGAAAACATATGACGGAAGAGTTTGGAAGAAATATGAAAGCAACGATTCAGATGGTAGTATATATTAGGGTTTTATTTTTTTCTTTTAAATTTAGTATTCTATAACTAATTTGAGTACATAAATAAAAAATATAGGTACATAACTCTGACTTATTCTTCGTATAACGGGATAATTTTAGAGTACGTAATTGGATAATGTAAGTTTATATAAAAATAACAGAAGTACATACAATATTTCTTATATTATATAGAAATCTTAAGGGTAAAATGGACACTAGGGAGTTAAGTGCAATTGAGAATAAAAAGTATGGAGTGCAGTGTAAGTACAAAATGATAAGGGACTGAAACTAAATGTTTTTAGGGTCAGAGGTATTTAAATCCAATTGCCCCTAGTTTAAATTAATAAAAAAGAAAAAATCAAAATACTGAAGTACCGTTGGATCTCCTCACCCAATTTTTGCACTACGGCATTTTGGAGTAGGTTAGAGTTGGGATCTCTTTGGTTTGAGGAATTTGGAGGGAAAGGGAGATGAGGAAATGAGAAAAATTACAATTATTTTGTTTGGTTCAATTATTTTTAAAGGGGAAATAAAAGAAAGGGAGGGAAGAGAATATCAAATGAACTTCTTTTTATTTTGGTTCCCCTCAAAATTGGGAAATTTGGAGGAGAGAGAAAAATATTTATGTTTTTATTTTATAAAATTATTCTTATTTCTTTAATGTTATATATTATTTATATTTTATTTACACCATATAAGTATATATATACTTATTTTAAAATTATATACGTTTATTCTTATATCAAAATGGATGTTTTATTAATAAATTAATAAAAATTTTATTAAATATTTTTATTTTATTTATTTATACAATATAGAATAAAACAGCAAAATTATTATATTTTTCTTTCCCCCTCTCTTCTTTAACCAAACATAAAAATACTATTTTTTCTTTTATTTTCATATTAACCAAACAAGCCATTACAATTTTAATATTTGGTCGCCCCTCCCTCCCATCTCTTCATTTGACCGAACAGACCCTTAAAAAAGCCACGAGATGCTCCAAACAAAATGCTGGAGTAGAATATTTTAAATTTGAGTAATTCTTTGAAAATCAGGTCTGACTTTAGCGCAATCTTCTTTCAACTGTAAATCAACCGTCGAAAGATGGTACAACACTGCAATGGCGTCTATCTATCTATCTAATGTTATCTAATCTAATTCTCCGTTCCAAACATGCTGCTGCCATCCATACTTCCTTTAACCTCCACCACCTTTAAGCTCCCTCTCCACCGTACGCCTCCTTTCTTCCCCCTTTCCCCCAACCATCTCTCAACATCCCATGTCTGCTTCGCTTACCAAGACCATATCGGGGAAGACGCGCGCTGGCTCAGGGAGGAACAGCGCTGGTTGAGGGAGGAGCAGCGTTGGCTTAGGGAGGAGTCCCGCTGGAACGCCGAGCGCCAATCCTTGTTGAAAGAAATAGATTCCCTCAAACTTCGAATACAGGAGCTTGAAAGGCTCAACTCTCTTCAGGGTGCTTCCGTTTCAAATATCGCGAACCTGCTGCAGGTTGTCCATTTAATCATTCTGTAGAAATTGAAGCGCTGGTGTGCTGCTGAATGCTAGTCTGATGCTCTTTTAGGGTTTGATCTATTGATTTTTGTGAAATTCAAAATTAATCTATGGAATTGATATTGCTGATTTTGGCGTTTCTCTGTACTCTCGGTTGGGAGTTGTACAATAAAACGACAGTTTCTAACATATTGATGCTGCTGGAAATTATGTGGTTGAATGTTAAATTTTCATTCTATTGACTTTGGGTTTTTTAAACTAAGCTAATAAAATTTCCACAAATAATGGGCAATCATTGTGTGCATCATCATCAATCATTTTTATGCATTTTGATTCATTCATTCATTCCCTTTTGCACTTGATTCCGTCTCGTTTTTCTATAGGATATTTTTTACGTTTCAATTCTTCTTACAGAGTAATAATTGGATGGTGATCTATACTTGATTGTTTGCTGTAGGTTATAAAGGATGGAGAATATGGAAAGGGTATAGATAGAATTGCTGATCGGACTGCTGCATTGCCATTAGAGGTTGAGGCAGCTAAAGAAAGAGAAGATGAAGTTGTCATAAAGGAGATAAGCAATCCAAAAGAGGAGCAAACTGTTACAAAGAGGACCGCCTTGAGAATAGGATCAGAAGGAAGCGAAGTAAATGCAATGCAGGTAGCCCTTTTTCCAATCAACAGTTTTCGTTTAAGAACACAGACTAGTTTGCTATTCATCAGTTTCTTATACATCTCTCACTAATTAGAAGCCATATGTTTGGGTGCAATGGTGATGCTGGTTACCTTTTATTGTAGATTCAAAGCAATCTTTATGATCGATCTTATTTGATAGGAAGCTTTGCAAAGACTTGGGTTTTACTCAGGCGAAGAGGACATAGAATATTCTAGCTTCTCAAGTGGAACAGAGCGAGCTGTAAAGACCTGGCAAGTATGTTGTTGCATTTCCAGTGTGTTTGCCGCAAAAATTCGTTAAGATTCCAATTTATTCCATGTAGTGAATTCCTTCATAATCTTCTAACAGGCAACAATAGGAGCACCACAAGATGGGATTATGACAGCAGCACTTCTGGACATGTTATTTGGAAATCCTGGCGCGGGCATGGTTAAAGCTCAAGACGACACGGAAATGGATCCGCAAAAGGTATGCAACCTATCCTATGACTGCCCTGACTGAGTTATACTTAGTTCAAAATTAGATCAGGCCATTCGTTGATTCGCTTGAGAGTGGAAATCGAGGAGATTGCTTTCTAAGCTCATAGGACTAACTTGGTAATAACGATGAAAATGAGAGATGAGGAACAAGACACTTTAATTTCGACCAATCAAGATGAGTCGACTACTGATAAAGCAACTTAGAAGACTTGAGAAAAGTAGTAGCAATTTGTAGAGGAAAGATTGAGAAAAATCAACATGCTTGCAAAGTTTAAACATTAGAAACAACACTCAACAAGAGTTCCAAATCTGTGCCAGTATAAAAGCATGTTAGGCCACACTGCCAAATTAGTGAAAGTTGGGATAAATTCCTACCTCATATACGCATCAACTAGATGATGGACCAGATATCAAATCTGCACATGAAAAGTAGAAACAACAGTGAAGTGAAGTAAGGAATCAAATAGGCAAGAAAGAAGTTGAATACCGTGCTAACAAATCACAATGCATACAATGCTACTGGCTAGCCTAATACCGGCATCGCCATAATCACATATCAAGGCCTAGCCTGGTACGGGCATTGTTATACCATCGTATCAAAGGCTAGCCTAGTACTGGCATTGCCGTTAATCATATATCAAAGCCTAGCCTAGTACGAGCATCCCATAATGGAAGATGTAACCAGGCTTTGGCGAGACTCTTTCAGCTGTCTTATATGTCCATTCTGCAAACTGTATACACCGAACCAAAACATATCCTAACAGTGCTGAAGCTTACCCTTTTTCTTTCTTTTTTTTTCTGCCGCCCCCGCCCTGCAGGTTCAAAACCTGATGCAGAAGTGGTATTATAATATTTGAAATTCACAAGTCGATAGCTTATCTCTAATGAGTCAGAACTGTTTAAAAAGTTGTCATGTCATTGAAATTTATATAAATCTCCATGATTTCGATATTATTCAACATTAACCTCATGTGACTTTCTTTTTCTTTCTCCATTGAAGGGTGCAAATGGAGCCCCAGTTACTGAAGTAACAAATATATCTGAAGTTCAGCAGACTATTGTGACTGATGAGGGTGTTACAGAAGTTGGAGTTTCTGAACACAGGGTATATTTACTTGGAGAGAATCGGTGGGAAGAACCTTCAAGACTTTCTGGTGGTAAAAATCCCATCACCCAGAGTAAATCTGGAAAGGGAACGACCAAGTGCCTTACTTGTCGTGGAGAAGGCAGGTTATTATGTATGGGTACGAGATCTTTCCAACATTCTTGGACTAGGAAATTAGTTTAACCTGTATGATCCTTATGCAGCCACTTACCCTACTCAATCCTATTATGAGCATACTAAAATAAAAATCCTATCCATTTAAAGTGGCCCTATTTGGCTTGTTTGAAACAGTTAGTTTGAAGATTGTTTAGTGATGGAGCATGTCAATTTGTTGAACTTGTACTAAGAGTTAGCTGTATCCACAACCTCTGTGTTTCCCTATATGATGATATAATCGATTCTACGTCTAACAGTTTTTCTATTCTCCCAGAATGCGATGGAACTGGAGAGCCTAATATCGAGCCACAGGTTAGACTTCACCCTTTGGAGAACCATGACTTGATTACCTCACCACTTCAATCATCTGCATTTGTTTGCAAGTCTTAAAAGTATTTCCATCTTCTCTGATTTCAATTCTGACAAATTACGATCTGGAGTTGACTATCAAAAGCAAAAATGATTAGTTTGTTTGTTTCTGGTTTGGAATCCATTATTTGATTGTTTTTGGTTGTTGATTTCTTAATCTCGGCTGCGTTGCAGTTCCTGGAGTGGGTTGGTGAAGAGACAAAGTGCCCATACTGTGAAGGTCTCGGATACACAAAGTGTGATGCCTGTGGGGGGAACTGATCAATCTTGCATAGGTACATAAGCATTTGTATGTAAATACATACATACATAGTGTGTGTGTATATAACATAAGTACATAACATAACATAACAAAATGGAGTAGCATTATCTATCTCTAGACAGGTCTAAACTCAATGCCTTCAACGATGAGCCCCGACTTTCCATGTGGGCTATTGATCTCGATCAACCAGACTTCAACTTCATCGTAGCGATGGTAGGCATTGTAGAACTTGCCCATTTCGATCTCCATCCAGCCGTCGCGTCTCTGGTGCCCGATTTTGCCAGTTTCTTGTGATGCTAAGTGCTCAGTGGTGCCATGATGATCAAGGAATCTTACTATAGTGTTGGATGACTTGAGGGCTTCCTTAGTTTGATGCCAAAACACCAAGTATGCTGCATAAGTTGTGTTTTGTGACAGGGCCTCACTTCTTATTCTCCCTTGTATGTGAATCCACCCTATGGATTTTAGCCATGCCGCCTCACTAAACCTGCATTTTATCTCCAAAATACAATGATCTTAAAATTATTGCTATATAAATAGGTGTGTTGTGATATTTTAAAAATAATTTGAATTTTAATATGATATAGGAAATAAAAATGATAATTTAATTTGATATTTCTTTGAAAAAAAAAAACGTAAATAATAGAAATTTCGTAAAATTTGATAAAAGATGTGGCATAAAAGATCAAAAGACATATAGGCGACTTTGAAGTCATTACTTTGCCATCATAAGTACACCTTAGTTTGACTTTTTTAAATATTGTATTTGGCTTAAGTGAGTTTACCTAAAATTGTTTTCTATGGTTTGCATAGAAAAAATATATATTTTTACTGCCAATAGTTTTTATGTCAAAATATTCCAGTGAAATTAATAAATAAGTAGTATATAGATTTTAAACATCCAGTAAAATAAAATTTTAAATAAGTACTCTTTTCGTTCACTCAAAACCTCTTTTTTTTTTTTTTAATTAATTTATTTTAGTTTTTCCAATCAAAATTTGTCATATTTTTAAAGTAAAGTTACATGCCACCATAATACAAAAATATCTCTATTTTATCATTATAATATTAATTTTACATAAAAAAGTAAAGAAAAAAATAATATTTACATATATAATTTGTACTACACTTTATAAAATAATAATATACTCGAGCGTGCTAAGAAGTAAATAAAAAAATTATCAATGGAATATACTCCATCTGTCGCATCTAATTTGTCGACTTTAGCTGAAGAATGAAGTTATAGATATTGAGTAATTAGTAAGTAATTGAGAAATATATTAATAAAAATAATTATAAATTAAGATTAAAATGACTAAATAATTTACTTAAAATAAAAAACAAAAATTATAAATTATGAATTTTAAAAAGTGATTAAATGTATAATTATATTTTAAAAAATGATAGAACAAATGATGTGGACGCACGAAAATAGAAAGAGTGAACAAATTATGCGGGACAAATGGAGAATTATTTAATTTTATAAAATATTACAATAAATAATATTTAAATTTAAAAAAAAAAATGAATGAAAACAAAACAAACCCCATATTATAGCAACTAAATTTGTTATGTATTGAAAACATTTTTAGTTTCATTTTTATCTTTTGTGTAAATATTTCTAAGTAAAAGTAATTGTTGAATGTTCATATTCTATATGAACAAAAAAATAAGTATCGAATATAATACTAAAAAAATTCTAAAGAATTGATAAAAAATAAAAAGTGTGTTTAAAATATGATTTTATTTCTTTATTATTTTGTTTTGTGTTTGTGTTCTTGATTTAAATAGCAGGTTTGTTGTAATAATTTGTGTGAGAGAAAAAAAAAAAAAAAAATTAAGGGTAAATGTGTGAAATTAATAATAGAAAAATAAAAAAGAAATATGGTTGGTTACCTGGAATTTGGGTGTGGAGCAAAGTACCAACAATTTTTCCAAGAAATGAGCAATTCTCTTGCCCCAATTAGATAACATTTCTTCCCATTTCTTCTATCAAGACAAAAGCTCTGCCAACAAGTCTAGTTTAGCTTTGAATTTATTTTGAAATTAAGCTATTAAATGTCATAATATATATATATATATATATTTGAGTTAAATCATATACAATTCTAACATCATAGCCTAAATTTATTGAACAATAATGTTAAACAATATTGTAATTTTGTATGGAATAATACTATAAATATGTTGAACTATGTTAATATTGGATTTGTTCACATTGTGTTTTTAAATTGTATTTCCTCCGTCCGCCTCTAACGCTTATATTTATATTTTGGCATTATTGGACTTAACATTAAAAATATCCTTATATTTTTATAATTTTTTGATACAAATGCTATTTTATTAGTATTATAAAACACTAATTAAAATATTTTTGCAATTTTTCCTTAATTTGCACTATATTTTGATATAATAATAAATATTAAAAAATTAACACGCAAAAAGTAAATGAAAGCCTCATAAAATATTATAAAAAATACAAATATAAACACCATTATCCTAACACATATAAAATATAGTTAAAATACTAAGCGAACAAACTCATATATTCGCTTAATATTTATACATTGAATATGACAAGAAAAAAAATAGAGTTAATGGCAATGTGAAAATGTTAAACCACCTAAGAATGTTATCCATTTATTGGAAAATTAGTTAAACAAACACACACATATATATAATTAGAAAAAGAAAGAAATATTAAACTAAAGTTATATATAATTTCAACACAAAAGTTGGACAAAGAGACAAAAAGAAAAAAACAATGATAAAGAAAGAAAACATATAGTCATAAATATACACATAAGTCCCGAATTAACCTAAATCGACTGATGACTTAAAAAAAAAAAAAAAACAATACACATATATCCAACATCAGACCGGATCCTCTGTCCCATTACCACACACTATTCCTCTATCCTCACACACAGTGTATATACATATACACGTATATATGTATACGAGGATAGAGAGATAGAATTTATTTTTGGTATAGAGGACACCATGAAATCCGACACCTATATATCTTATGGACGAAGAATTAATGTGATTAAAGAACAAAAAGAAATATAGGGTTTGGTAAAGAGTGGAATTGTGGGACTTAACCAACAAACACACTATGGATTAATTGAGAAAAAATCTTAAACATATTAATAATCATAATTAATTTATTACCTAATCCCATTTGTTGCAGATAGAGTAGTTGGCTCACACATTTATTGAATCTATCTATCTATATTAATATATATAATTCATCTACAACATCCAACCTAACTCTAATTCTTAAATGATAACGTGAATGAATCACACATTTCATTTTTATTTTTATTTTTATTTTTTTTTTTATATTTTTATGACGTGTGAATCTGCACCCGCTGCCCGAAATTGCGCAGTGAGTAAACCCCCGGTCGGACCTAATACCCTGCAAACTAGACTCGATAGACAAGTCACACTAGGCGAATCGTGTGTGACAGTTGACCTAAGGCGTCGGAGGTTTGAACCCATGACATTTACGGTCACACCTCCAATCCCCACCCGGGACATCCCTCGGAACCATTTGTTTTTTTTTTTTTTTTTCAAAAACTTTGTCTGGTCATTACGTGGAGAAAGCATGCTGGCTGGTGCACAGTTTTATTTATTTATTTAGGCTTCAAATTTGTATGTATGTGGTGGTGTTTGGTTTCTTGAAACATCGAAATGGATATATATTACTGTCATATAATTTTTATGTTTTTCTTTACTTATTTTTTTTTTATTTTTTTTTATTGAGATATTAATTATTACTATTTAATAATAATATCTCAATTAATATTATTGAACTTCTTTTAATATCGGTTTATTTGACAGTACTTACACATTTAAATCTATGTTATTCTTTTTCTATTTTTTTTTTTTTTAAAAATTTTTAATTAGTAGTGTAAGAGAGATGGCAAAATTAGCCCCTAAATTTCAAAAGGGCTGATCACTGATAAAATGTTACTAAGAGCATGTGATGATATAGTCATTAATTTAATTTCATTGTCTTATTTTTTTTTGTTATTCACGTCATATCTGCATAAATTTTTCAATTATTTTCCTTAACATTCGTTGTAATTATTACATTCAATACATAACCGTTACTATTTTATAAAATTCATTTTAATTTGTTATATATATATATTATATAATATATAAATAAGATATATTATTATTATTATTATATATAATTCCTTAGATATTAATATAAATTGTGATAATATTATATAATTTTTATAATAATTTTGAATTATATATTAAAATTATTCGAATTTGTGATATTAGTGATATTTGAAAAACTAAATGATTAAATAAAACTTGGATTGATGTATCGTCTAAAATTTTTTCATTTCCGACAATTTAGTTCAAAAACTAGTTGAAAAGATTTATGTGTTCATTCGTCATTTTATTGAAATTGTATATAAAAATTTAAAGGAATCTAAATTTTAAAATTTGATATATCAAATGAGATAAAACTAAATTATTGAAAAAGTATGTAGATAATTATAATTTTTTTGAAATAAATTTGAATTGCATTTATATACATAAATTATTGATAAATTTTTAAATTTTTGAGTTAATTAATTAATTTAGTTTTTAATTATTGTTTGTGGAGGTAACGAGTTCTTATAAAATGTAATAAATTTATAATAATTATTTTTATTATTAAAGGTAGTGAGTACTGTTATATTAAAAATGCATACTTATTGTTTTATTGTGTGTTTGTTTTGGTGAGATTTTTGGAATTTTTTTTTTTTTTTTTTTTTATGTGAGATATAGAAAATTGTGTATAAAATATAAAAATAATAAAAATATGTATTACAAAAACATGTTGAAAAATAACTTTGAAAGAACAAAGCTATTATCTCTGAATGATAATAACTTAATACTTATAGATGGTCGTACAATAACTTTCAAAAATTAAAAATAAATAAATAAAAGAAAGAGGATTGAAGGTAAATAGTTTGTGTGTTTGCAATATATATTGGATTTGTTTATTTAATTAATAATTTTTCAATTTTACAATATTTTATAAATATTAAAAAAATTAGAATATATATAGATATATTATACATATTTTATCTATTTAAAAAAGTTAATAATTAAAAATAAATTATTATTATTTTTATATTACTAATATCATATCTAATCCGCTGCGGGTTGCCTATTCATATATATAAAAAAAAAAAAAAAATTATATCTAACATAAAAATATATATTTATCGAAACAGCAAAAATAAATAGGCGCAAGTAAGTATTGTTACGAACCAGTTTGGCTCCGTCTATGAGAAGAAAGTTGTGGGAGAGAGTAAAGAAGAGGTCCTTTTTGGTGCGGTAGTTGATGACGGCGGCGGAATCGGCTCTGGACAATATCTCCGGCCAATCCTGCGGCAAGAATCTGTTCCAGACAGCGTCGGAGTCGGCCGCCGATTTGAAGGCTTTGGAAATGAGGGACGACCGAGAAGCATCCCAAGCAGACGTCAATGACAGAATCTCTGATATGCATCCCTCCGGCACCTTCTCGAAAGGATTCCCCATCTCTCTCTCCCTCCCTCTCTCTCTCTCTCTCTCTCTCTCTCTCTCTCTCTTGTGTATACATACATATATATATATATAGATGTATAGTATCGTGTATTGGGTTTAGAAATATTTAAAATTCATTTTCGTAAATTTCAATATAATAGTATATAGCCGAAGGAACCTCACCTTAGTTCCTTTCTATCTAGCGATGCTATGCCCTATCAATCATATTATAATATACTATAAGTCTATAAGTGAGTCGCCTAGTTATAAATTTGATTGAATTATTAAAATTAATTATTGTTATTAAATATATGATATTTTAATATGAGAATTATTCTAATAAACTAAAATATTTTACGCGATCAAATATTCGGGAAGGTAGAAGCATTAAAATATAATAGAAGTTTTTTTAAAAAATATCAAAAAATATAGTATTTATTTTTATATAATATATTACATTTTTTTCATTTTAAAATATCACTTTAATTTTTTTTTATATATCAAATTCAATAATTATTTTAATTTAAAATTTAACATACAAAAGAATATCAAACAAATAATAATACTGCATATGTCCTCCAAAATTATATCACCATTCTTTTTTTTTTTGTCAACTAAACTTATATAAAATTCATTCATAGTAAATAATTTTATTCTACTATAATTTTATTATCACTACTTTAACTGTTGAAACGTGACTTGAATTTAGCGATCTACCCGACCCGAAACTAAAGCGAAAGGGCTGTTTCAATTGACAGGGTTCTTTTTGGGCTTATTCTAATTAATAACAAATAGTCTTAGGGTTTAGGGTTTTTTGGGGTGCTTATAAATAGATAGCTATGGTTCCCAGTCGTATGACATAATTGTAAATCTCTAAATCAATATAATAAAATCTCTCCGGTTCCTGCCCGTAGACGTAAGTTGACACACCGTCACTGAACCACGTAAAACTCTATGTTCTTTATTTGCTTTATTTCTCGTTTTCTCATAACAAGTGGTATCAAAGCCATATCTCATTGATTGAAGATGTCCTCATATAAGTTTGATCTGGAAAAGTTTAATGGGTCGAATGACTTCACGCTCTGGAAGGTCAAGATGAGGACACTTCTGGTTCAACAAGGATGTGCGGCTGCATTAGAGGGAGAAGACAAGTTTCCTAAAGATACAAATGAGGAGATAAATAAGGAGATTTTGGCAAGGGCTTATTCCGCAATTTTGCTGACAGTTACTGATGAGGTGTTACGGGAGGTTGTAGATCAGACAACGGCTTTTGGGTTATGGAATAAACTGTGTGAGAAGTACCAAAATAACTCTCTCACGAACAGGCTATATCAGAAGCAACGTCTTTACACCCTCCGGATGTCCGAAAGTACTCAGGTAAAGGATCATCTTGATACTTTTAACCGTATCATTCTTGATCTTCAAGGGGTTGAGGTTAAAGTAGATGATGAATATCAAGCCCTAATTTTACTGTGTTCACTACCTGGTTCATATGAGAATTTTGTAGATACTATGCTATATGGTAGAACTACAATTTCTGTTAATGATGTGAAAGATGCTCTTATGTCCAAAGAATTGAAAAGAAAGGTTTCTCTGAAAGAGGGTTCTGGTTCAGGTCTGTTTACAGGTACGGGAAGACCACATGAGAGGGGTAACGGGAATGGGAGATCGCGTTCAAAATCAAAATCCTCTAGCAAAGTTAAGTGTTATCTTTGTAAGGAGAAGGGGCACGTTAAAAGGGATTGTCCACAAAAGAAAGGAATACAAAAGTTGATTATAGTAACAGTGGCAGCAACACAGTTCTGATGATGGGGACTTTGGTGAAGTTCTGACAGAGTGTAGTTAGTACTGCTGAATTCTGGATTATGGATACCGGTGCTTCTCACCATATGACGTTTTCTCGTGATCTACTCACTTCTTTTAAGGAGTGGAATAGAACGGTGAAGTTAGGTGATGATGGGGTTCTAGCCATAAAGGGGAGCGGGATAGTGCAGATAAAATTGCATGACGGTACTGTCTAGAAATTTGACTGTTGGTATATTCTTGAACTCAGAAAGAATTTGATTTCTCTTGGCACCTTAGCCAAGAATGGTTAAAATATCATAGTGAAGGTGAGTGAGTGAAAGTCCTGAAAGGTGCTCTGGTAATGATGAAGGGAAAACTGCAGCATATAATTTATTTTTTACCGGGCAGTTCAGTGATGGAAACGGCGGCGGTATCCCAGTCCTTGGATAAACATGATGACATGACAAAATTTTTGGCACCGTCAATTAGGTCACATGAGTGAGCTAGGGTTGTCTGTGTTGAGCAAACAAGGTTTATTTGGTGGGGATGTGATAGGTAAAATTCAATTATGTGAGACTTGTGTAAAAGGGAAACAACGCAGGGTGAGGTTTAGTACTGGTCATCACACTTCAAAAGAAATTCTAGAGTATGTTCATTCAGATCTATGGGGTCCCTCTCCAGTGAAATCGCAGGGTGGTTGTTCTTACTTTGTCACTTTCATAGATGATTATTCGAGAAAAGTCTAGTTGTACTTTCTGAAGACTAAAGATGAGGTGTTTGGAAAGTTCAAGGAGTGGAAGACAATGCTTGAAAAACGGACGGGTTAACAGGTCAAGACTCTAAGAATTAATAATGGGTTGGAGTTCTGCAACGCTCCATTTGATGATTTTTGCAAGAAAGAAGGTATATTGAGACACTGCACTGTATGACATACACCACAACAATATGGAGTTGCAGAGCTAATGAACCAAACTCTCATGGCGCATGCTAGGTCTATGCGCATATTTTCTGACTTATCTAAGCAATTATGGGCTGAAGCAGTTAACATTGCTAATTATCTGGTTAATAGATCTCTATCAAATGCAATTGACTTAAAGACTCCTCAAGAGGTATGGTTCAGTAAACCCTCTGATTACTCTAATCTAAGAATATTTGGATGCCCTGCATACGCTCATGTGAATGATGGTAAGCTAGAGCTGAGGGTGGTAAAATGCATATTTCTAGGATATGCAACAGGAGTAAAAGGTTATCGACTGTGGTGTACAAAATGTAAAAATCCTGGTAAATTTCTTATTAACAGAGATGTAACCTTTGATGAATCTGCTCTGCTTGATCAGAGTAGAGGTTGTGAAAGTATTGCAGGTACAAAAGATTGTGGTGTTGACCAGATGGTGGAGTTTGAGACTCCTGACAGAGTTGTGTTAGAAGAAGAGCAACAAGATAATACTATTGATCAATCCGATCAACCAGATCAGTCAAAACCTCAAGGGAAACCAGTTGAGGGGGAAGCTGATGACGCTGGTACTGGGGTTGAAGATTCCATAGCAGCAAGAAAGGGAAAGAGAAATATTCAGAAACTAGCTAGGTTTGTAGGATGTGTCAATACATGTGACATGAATTTTGTGACTTATGCACTAGCGGTTGGTGATGATCTTGGCTCTGATGAGCCAAAGACATATAAATAAGCTGTGGCGAGTAAAGATGCAGAAACCTGGATTATGACAATGAATGAAGAGATGCAGTCTCTTGAAAAGAACAAGACTTGGGATCTTGTTGCACTACCAAAAGGGGTGAATCTAGTAGGATGCAAGTGGGTCTTTAAAAGAAAGGAGGGAATTCCTGATGTTGAACCTGCTAGGTTCAAGGCGAGACTGGTGGCAAAAAGGTTCTCACAAAAGGAAGGAATCGATTACCATGAAGTCTTTTTTCCTGTGGTGAAACACAAAACAATTCGGGTTCTTTTGGCGATGGTGGGTACTTTTGATCTGGAGCTGGAGCAGCTTGATGTAAAAACAACATTCCTCCATGGTAATCTAGAAGAACAGATTTACATGTCTCAACCGGAGGGGTTCTACAGTTCTAAAGGGGACCAGGTATGCTTGTTAAAGAAATCTCTGTATGGCTTGAAGCAGTCTCCGAGGCAATGGTACAAGAGATTTGACTCTTTCATGGTGTTTAATGGTTATACTCGTAGTTAGTTTGATAACTGTGTTTACTCGAAGAAAGTTTCTACTGATTCCTTTGTGTATCTGCTGTTGTATGTGGATGATATGTTAACTACAGCTAAAAATATTGTTGTAATTAATGACTTGAAAACTTTACTAAAGGGTGAGTTTGAGATTAAGGATTTGGGTGCGGCAAAAGAAAATACTTGGTATGGAGATCTGACGTGATAGAGAAGCAAGACGACTATAGGTTTCTCAAGAAAAGAATATTGAGAAAGTTTTGCAAGCATTCTCTATTGATCAGTCCAAACGAGTAAGTACCCCTTTGGCGGCACACTTTAAACTTAATCGAAGCACTATACCGGCTAAAGATGAAGAGGTTAACTACATGAATACGGTTCCATATTCAAGTGCAGTTGGAAGTCTTATGTATGCGATGGTATGTACGAGACCGGATCTTGCTTATGCGGTTAGTGTGGTGAGCAGGTTTATGGCTAATTCAGGTAAAGCTCACTGGGGAGCTGTAAAGTGGATCTTGCAATATTTGAAAGGAGCGTCTGATATTTGTCTCGTATATGATGATAAAGGCCATGGTGATAGTCTTGTTGGCTATGCAGACTCTGATTACGGGGGTGATTTGGTGAAACGAAGATCACTGACTTGCTTTATATTCACTCTATTTGGATGTGTAGTCAGTTGGAAGTCTACTTTACAACCTATGGTTGCACTGTCGACAACAGAGGTGGAATACATGTCAATGACTGAAGGTATTAAGGAGGGTATCTGGTTACATGGTCTAGTGTAGAGTTTGGGTCTGAAGGTGGAGAAACCGGTGTTATTCTATGATAGTCAAAGTGCTTTAAGTTTGGCTAAAAATCCAGTGTATCATGAGAGAACCAAACATATTGATGTAAGGTTGAATTTTATCCGTGATGTTCTGGAGGAAGACAAGTTTTCTATTCAGAGAATAGCTACAGAACACAATCCAGCTGATATGTTGACAAAGACGCTACCGACAGAGAAGTTTGAGCACTGCTTGAACTTGGTGAATATTCACAGGAGGTAAAGCCCTCTCGTGGCATCTGGCA